TGTCATTGGAAGCATATGTAGGCTCATTGTTCATAAACAAGTTTTACATGGAGATGAGAAAAAGAATAAGTGCAAGAGCATGAAAGAAATGAAACTTGGGTGCTTCCAAAGCCAAATGAAGAACTACACAAGAAAAATCTTCTCTTTTGTAGCGGACGAGGAAAAAAATGTCTTCTGCAATGGGGGGAAGACAATAGTGACATTCATAGACAAAGTAAAAAATGAAGAAGATATTCAAGGCAGTATAGGCTATGATTAAGATAAAATCATATAACCTATCTTACCATATACTAAAGTTCCTTAAAGAAATCATAGTCTATAATGATACTATATTAGTATAGATTACAGTTTCTTGATGATATCGTAATCTATGGTGAGCTAAGCTATGATTTTTTCTCAATCGTCATTTTTTTTGGTAATAATTTCAAAAAGACCATCGTTTTAGCATAAACTATGTTTTTATGATAATCGTAGTTTGTTTGCATAATTATTTCAATTATTTGCACTAGTTAATAATACATCAAACTTTTAGAATCTCTCAATTAAGCACAAGATTAATCAAGTGATAGTTCAAATGTGAATGTTTGATTCTAAGAACGAGATTAATCAAGTGATTGTTCAAATGTGAATGTTTGATTCTAAGAACGAGATTAATCAAGTGATTGTTCACATGTGAATGTTTTGATTCTAAGAACGAATAAATAAATCATCAAAGATAAATAAAGAAGATAAAAGATGAAGAACTCACCATATCACAAGAAAAGATTCACATAAGAAGAAAAATCACTACTTAAATTTGAAAAGGCATAAGATAAGATTCATGAAAGGCAAAACTAACCTCATGAACTCCATAAGGACACAAATGTTCATGGTCACTTTCATTTAATTATAATTTATATTACAAAATGAGAACTTTATGCTTATATAGGCTAACTTAAGGAGAAGAAATATTTATGACTTGTTGGTTGAAGCTTCTAACTTTATAAAGAAGACCCTTACATCAAATATGAAAAAACTAGACTTTAATTGATTTGTAGAGATATTCATCCAAGTAAGAACCTTATTTTTAAGAGTTAGTCTTATGTCCAATTTAATGTATTGCATCTCTACTCTAAAACATAAAACTATATTTTTTATACTTTTATTTACAAAAGAATTATAACAAAAATTAAGAGAGGTATTTTTAAAATTTTTTGACTTTTTTATGCATTTCTCTTGTATATATCTTCCTTCTCAATATTTAAATTGTGTTTCAAGCTTCTTCTCTTTATTTTATTTTTAATTTTGGTGTGATGTAATAATTTCACTTTTTTTAACATAGCTTGTTGTTGAAGAGATCACATCTTGTCATGACAATACATTCATTTCCTAATGGAATAACTATAATTGCTAGCATAACTCCTTGTTACGTAAACTTAAATGGAAAAAATTAAATGCATTAGTTATTATGGATAGTTAATGTATTAGTCATTGTGAATAATTAATGTATTAGTCGTTGGAGTCTTATAGGTAGTTAGTATGTTAGCCATTGTTATCCGTTTTTATTTGTTTTGAGTACAACGGTAAAAAAATACGTGAGTCTATAAATTGTATTACTGATTGGACAAATGGAACAACAACACATAAAAATGAATCAAGTTATTAATCAAAAGCTTTTTTTTGCTAACAAAGTGGTACTAGAAACAGTTAGCTGGAGGGCTTAAGTGAGAAAAAAAGAGAGTGAGAGATGGTCAATCTTATAAACAGTATGCCCCTACTAAGAACACTTAAGGTAGCGAAAGATGGCAAGGAGGTATAACAAACGATTCTGGTGGTAGAAGCCGATGACAAGAAGAAGAGAAAGAATAGTCGATCAACTGACATAGAAGAAGATGAAGTCCATGGAGAGGAGGTGGGTCAAGCAACTCAAATGTTGAGTGCTTTAAGTATGAAAAGTATGACTATTATGAAAAGGAGTGATACTCAAATAAATGTGTTAATTATGGTAAGGTTGGAAATTTTTCAAAAGATTATCGGTTTAAGAATGGAAGAGAAGACATGACTGACTTCGTAGAAAAAATTGAAGAAGAAACAACCTTGTTAATGGTGGCTCATTGCTCACGAGTTGAGCGCATATTGAATAACTTGGCTAGACAATCAAGTAGCATGGAGAACTCGAAGAGAGAGTCAAGTAGTGTGGATAAGTTAGCAAGACAACCAAATAGGTTGGAGGAGTTGGTAAGATATGCAGATAGTTCAAATAGCGCGATAGCATAGACAACTCTTTTGGGTGCCCAAATACCTTAGAGAGCTTGGTAGATAATGTGGAAAGCTTGATAAATCACGTGGAGAGCTCGGTAGAGAATGTAAATATCTTGGTGGGGAGCCCAAGTAGCTCAGTGGAGCAAAGTGAACACTGAGATAACTAGGTGGGATGTCCGGATAACTTTGATGGGAATTTGGATAACCTAGATACCTTAGTGGAACAATTGGACAACTCAAAAGGAGCTCTAGGTATCGAAAGGAACTTAGCTAAGAACAAGTTGGCTACCAAGATAGTATAGAATCCAAATAAGAACAAGTCAACTACTAAGAATACAAAGAACAAGTTAGTAACAAAGAAAGTGAAATACAAGTCGACCATAAACAAATAGAAGAACAAGTTAGCTAAAGAGAACAAGTCAACCAAAGAGGATAACAAGTTGGCTATGGAGATATGAGGAACCCAACTATTAATAAAAGGAACAAGCATGTGTTAGTATTTTAAGGTTGTTAAAGGAATAATTGATGTGGTAGAGAAAATGTGGAGATAGTGGAATGTAGAGAAAATATGGAGATAATGGAATACTAAAGTAGTAGTTGGAAGAAGTGTTATAGTTGTCTTAGTTGTGGTAGATGTTGTTTTGCATCAAATGATAAAGTACATGAGTATTTATAGACCCATAGATTATTCTAGAACATGCTAGTCACAACTTATGTGAAATGTCAGATTTTTACTTATGTAGAACGTTCGTGATTTTTTCTTTATATCTTAGAATTTTCTATAATATTCTAGATTTTTTATTACATTTAAGTATTTATATCTTAAGATTTTCTATATTCTTTTAAAATTTGCAATACACTTTAATAGCATTGCATGTGTCATAACGAGAAAAGGAATGAAGGTAGAAGAAATGATTAAAAGCATAAATGTTTAATGGAAAAGTTTTGTTAGATAAACTTAAATGAAATAACATTAAATATATTAGCTATTAATGTATTTACTATTGTAGATAGTTAAGATAATAATCGTTGAGTAGTTAATATATTTGTCGTTAGAATTTTATAAGTAGTTAATGTGACAGTTGATTTTGTTAGTTTTGAGTACAACAGAGGAAATATGAGTGTGTAATTTATTTTTCTGATTACCTGAATGGAACAATAGCAAATGAAGTTATTCATCAAAAGTTTATTTTCCTAAGACTCTCGCTGTTTCGCTTAACTGTAGCGTAGACACTTCTTTGACGGAGTTCGACAGTGAATCCTACATCTCCATGTCAATGACTAGAGAAAGAAGTCAATGAATTGTTGGAATGTTACACTAGTGTAGTCAGGGGAAACGACAATGGTTATATTTGCCCATAGACAGCGGTTCCCGAACCGAGGCATATCCAGGCGAGGCAAAATGTCTACTTTTTGCCTCTGGTGTGAACTGAGGCATAAAAGGGTAAGATACTGCCTCAGTTCATCCTTAACCGAAGCAGTAGATGTTTTGATTTTTATTGAACACCCAAGCAACGTTCTTCCACTGTTTATTGCCTAACACATGAAACACTATCAATAGCAAATACATTTTTCAGTGTGACACATACATTTCAACCACGATACACATTTCAACCATGATATACCAATATTCTACATCACTTTTACTAATTTTTCATTCAATAATTTACAATCAGGAAGCAAAAAGAAGAGAGCAGATTTTTCTTACTGCACCAAGTCTCAACCAATATACTAGTGTCAACCAATATACCAACTCAAATATCAAACACAAGATAAAGAGGGTTTGAACAAATTACCGTGATGGGCAGCACCAATGACGACGGCGGCAGCGGGGCAACGGCATCAACCGGGGCGACGAGGGAAGAGTGGGCAACGACAGTGACAACTGCAGGGACGAAGGCGGCAAAGTGAGAGAACGACAGTGAACCAATTCTCACAGCAAATGGATGCACAGTGTAGGGAAAACAGAGAAACTTCAGGCGTACAAGATGAAAAAGAGAGGCCGCGAGGAAGGAGGAAAATGGAGCTTCAGCCGAGGAAGAAAATGGAGGTTCAACAGGTGGTGATGGCTAGAGAGAAAATGCAGGCGAGGAAGAAAGAAGATGCACTGCGAGGAAGAAAGAAGATGCACAATGTAGGTTAAGTTGTTACGCAAAAGTAAAAATTGTGAATGAGGATATGCTTCGGTTATTCAACTAACCGATGCCTCAACTCCAAACATATGCTTCGGTTCCACCAACTACCCGACGCAATAGCACAGTCTTGTGGGTTGCAGAGGGGTTTGCAGTGGCGTTGCAGGTTGTGGCAGGCCTATAGGCATCGGGTCTGCTACCAACCGATGCAATAGAACCTTTTCTAAAAAGTTGTCAGCCAAAAGTTTGATTTGCAGGGCGTGATGCAGAGATATAGGCATCGGTTCTGCAATTAACCGATGTAATATGCTCCTTCCACCTCGGGTTTCTCTAAACCGAGGTATATACGTCTATACGCTTCGATTTTTTCTTAACCGAAACCTATATGACGCGTTAGAAATCGCTTTTTCTACTAGTGTTATCTATTGTGAATCAACCTAATTTGTTACCGAGTCAAAGTCTCGGATCACTACTATATGAAATACTCGATGATTTAAAAAAAAGAAAAAACGAAAACAATTTGATGATCAAAGCAAGAAATTTGACGGACCAAACCATTTAATAAGACTTAATAAGAATAATAATTTTATTGAACAAATTTGAAATTATTGCTTATATTTATTAGAAAGAAGTTAAGTGCTGGCATGATGGTCCCGAAATGGCTACTAAGCTAACAAGCATGAACGTGTAATAGGAAGTGGTGGATCCGAGAATGATCCAGTGATAATGCGATTTGCGATCCAGCCATTTGCTGCGTCAGTGTAGTGCACGCCATCCCAGCTAATGTGTGAAGAAGGATCTTGACACGAGCCAACATGAATCTGTCCACCATTAATGGTGACATTGAAATCTCCACAGAAAAAGTGATTGCCACCCTCATGATACCCACAACAGATTTCAGATGGGTCAACAAATCCTGCCAATGAAGATAACAATTTATGAGTTACGTCAACTTTTATATTTCCCTCTCATAATAATTACTTCTTTACCTTCTTTCTTAGCATTGCTGATCAGCTCATACTTAGCAGAGAAAACGTCCACATACACAAATGAAGCATCGAGGTACAGTGCCCTCAGTTTGACCACTGTATCATTGAGCTTTGTGTTGAACTCTTTGGCCATGTCGTTTTGATACACGACACAGCCGTTTTGATCAAGATATCCATCCACTGGAGTATAATTGTAGGCATTGTGTATGGGCATGGCAACTGGTAGGCAACCTATGGGACCTGTGTTATGGATCCAGAATGTTCTCGCTCCTTGACTGTATAAATACTGACACGTGTGTTTTCTGTTTAGAAGTCTGCTACAGTGGAGATTTTATAGAAAAAATAAGACAAAAATAACTTACTATAAGCTGGTTTGAAAATTGGTCGACCATGTCTGAGATCACTGCTTCAGAATTTTCCTGTCCCATTCTTTGAAGAGCAGCAGCAATGTCATTTTGCCCAATATCGAATGTGTAGATGGCTTTCGCAAAGTCCTCTGGCCTTGGGAAGGAATTTCCCTGTCCTGCAAAGATATAAAACCCCTTAAACCCAAAGAAAAATGATAAAAGTACATCTTTATATGGATATACTTCTTCTGTATCCAATGGGTTAAACTAAAAATAATATAATATCTTCATTAAATTATATTGGTTAACTTCAAATCTAATCAATATCTTAATTATAATTCATCTAAATATTACATAATCATTAAAAACCATCTTATGAATCCTCCATAATCATTATCACTCTTTTGATAAAATGACAAAAATCAATTATCAATTAGTTTCAATAAATTACTCGATTACTAACAATAAAAAATCCGTCATTAAAATAAAATTTATTAACAAATTTTAAAATTTTAATTATTAATAAAAATATTGATTACTAATAATTTATTGGTAAAATTTATTGTTATAGAATTTTTATTATTAAAGAAAATGTTTATTTTGATAAAATGGATGTGAAAGTTTTTTGTAACATCCCAATTATATAACAACTTATATAATAAGGACGTCAACATCCAAATAAAGAGAACAGTCAGAGTATGACGTGTAATTAAATATGAAATTACAGTCATCCAAAAGTAAAAGAAACAGAATTTAAACTTAAACAGTTTAAGGGATGAACACTACAAGTGTTCGAATAGGAAAATTCCTAATAAGACTACACCGCAACCTCGGAATCCTCCAGCTCTTGTTCCAAAGGAATCNTTGTTTCAAAAAAGCTGTCAGAGGTTTTTGCCTCGGTTGGTCAGAGAACCGAGGCAGTAGACCTGTTTCAAAAAAGCTGTCAAGTGAAAAGTCTGATTCAGCAGGATTTTTTGCCTCGGTTGGTCAGAGAATCGAGGTAGTATACTCTTTAGGCATCAGTTCAAATTGAACCGAGACATATAGTGTCGCCAGAATTACAAAATTGCCACCGCTTTTTTATATGCTTCAGTTTTTTTAAAACTGATGCGTAACGCGCGAGTTAAAAATAGTGGACCTTGATTCTATTAATGTAAGAAAAGTCAAATTTTTGTAGTCTAATATTCATGGTATATTAGGAAATGTTCAAATATAAAAGCTGGTCTTACAAATCAAGAAAGACGTGATAAACCATAAATACTACTACTGCATAAGTGTTTGTTATAAAATATATATATACCCCATAAGTTGCATTTACGTGCGTGTTAAGATGTAACAGTCAATATTTGTGATGTAATTAATTAAAGTAAAGGAAGAAGAACCTCGCTTGTAGAGCTTGGCAGTGCGTGTCTTAAATTGGATAAACTGTGCGACCTGAATTTGAAGACTGAAAGGACTACCACCATCAAAGAATGTTCTGTTTTGCTTCCTAATGGTTGATGATGCTGCGCCAAAGTTTGCACCCTGCTCATAGCTTGTTCCAATTGAATCCATGTAAGCACTCAAGTACTGCAAACCTAGATGCTTCGCTGAGAATAAGAATATGAAAAACAAAACCAATTAAAATTCTAAATATAGGAATAAATTATTATTAATTAGTATAATAATTTTTTTAAATATAAGAGGAATTGATCGAATGAGATATGTGTACCAAGGAAATCTATGATAAGGCGACCGTCAGAAGCTCTCCCAACAGCCTCATGAAAAAAGGTCTGACCATAGGGCAAAGCTGCTGGGTAAAATGCTGCCGACATGCATCCAGTATCTGAGTTGGAGTCACCAAAGTTGAATATGGCTGGAAAACCACAACTTTCTGAGGATTTTGTTTCCTCGGCAGCGGCTATATTCAAAAACAGCGAGAATGAAATCACAGCTACAAAAAACTGTCCGAGGAATCCCATTTTTGCAGCACAAACTAATACTCTTGTTGTGTTGTGTTAGCGTATGTGTTATTATACAACCAAGGACGTACCTGTTTTAACGGTGTCAAAATGTTTGTAGTTGCTTAGGAGTCACGTATCTGTGGATGGAAGCCACAATTAAGTATTTTCATTGAGTTTTTTTATAATCATATTTTGATTTTCATTTGTATAGATTTTTTTAATCCTTATAAAATTTGAAAGTATTATTTTTAATATGAGTTAATTTTAGTTTCTGATATTTTTAATTTCTTTATCTTTATTTGCCCTAAAAGCTTAATCACTGTTTCTATTCTTAAAGTTTATTTTAAAATGATTAAATAACATTAATTTCTAACATTATTTATTTTCGAAACATAACATTGTAACAAAAATACTACTGTGTGCTGCTCTTGTATTATATAATGGTACATACCATAACAATATTTCCACATTTTTGAGGATGAAAGAAGAAGGAATAAAATTGAAAATCATTAAAATTTTATTGAGACTAAAGTATTTCTTTTATTCAATTTTAGTACACTTTTCAAATATATGAAAAAAAATTGTATTGGATATCGTATATGAAATTAAATCTTATTTGCAACTAATAGAAATGATGAGAAAATTACGAGTGATTTGTTAGATGATTTTTTTTTTTCACCATGAAGCTTTTGTTTATAAAATTTTAACATAATGTAATAACACTACATTTTATGTTTATAGCTATAAAATAAAATTTGATATACGCGTATGCAGTAGCACGACTTACGATCGGACAAAAGTTCAATTGAATCCTACAGAGGCTAACTTTAATTCTATTCATAATTGAGTAAAATAGGATCGAATTTATATTTGGATATCACTTTTTTAAATTGTTTTATATTAAAAAGTATTTTTCGCATGAAAAAGGTTTGTTGTTTTGGACTATAAAAGGAGAATATGATGTGAAGGTCTGCCTTATACGAAATATATTTATATAGGAATAGTTATTATTCCTTCTACTTTTGTCAATTTCTAGTGCATTTAATAGATATTTAAACTTAGGCTTTTTGTCACTCTCATTGATTTATATTCGTGTATTCTCAACTAACTAATTTTAATTTCAATTAACAAATTTGAAGTTACCTTCCTTTTCACTCGTATAATACGTGCATTAAGAATACAAATCCCAATTTCATATTTTTAGACGTGTTTAAAATGACATTTATATCTATTTATCAAATAGACTATTTTATAACTATTTAATAAAATAAATGTGATAAAAATTTTTTTGAATTAGTAATACTATTCAATTAATATAATATAGTTGTAAAAAAAATGAGATTTAATTATTTTATTTTATTAAAATCATAAATGGAAAACAAACTAATTGAGATTCATTGTTACTATCTCTCTAAAACACACTAATTTTCTCTTTTCGACATTCTTTTTAGCATTCTAATAAATTTACTCATTGAAGATCAAAGAATATTATAAGAGTTATAGTATAGAGATAATAGTTGTTACTATGGGCTTATATTCGGTCGATTGGGTACGATTGCATACTGGCTAGAAAAGACCGAACGGTCGATGAGCAAAAAAGAGTTTCGTATCCGCTCAGTCACGACAGCAGTTGAGCAGAGTTAAAGCGCAATCAATACGGTAACAACTATTAATGATTGGTTAAGACAAATATTAGTGACTATTAAGAAGTAAATTAATTGATCAGATTCTTATAAACTCTATAAATAGATATTTAACTTTGAGGTAATGTTTTACGCTTTCATAATCACATTACTTTAGACATCCAGAGGAAAATTTTGACTTGAGCGACGAAGTGTATTCTGTAGGTCACCCCCAGATATCGATCGGTTACTAGAGCAAAGAGAGGAGCGAACATTCGTCAAAGACAGGAGCAGCACACAGGCGATATCCTCGTACCAATTTAGCAAAAAAAATTTGGCACCCACCGTGGGGCCGAGGATAGTAAAAGAAACCCAATCAAGACCATAAGGATGACAAGACAACCATACCCGATGGTGTTGATGTAGGAGATGTAGAGACAGATGCAAGCTATGTAGGCGAAAATTGCGACTTTACGTGTAGAGCGTGATGCAAGGTAGAGGGCGCAGTCAAATTAGCAGTCGGCGGCACATGCCCCAACTCCCATAGTGGAACTTGCTCAAACTGAGCCAAGAGGAACTGATCAGGAGGAAAACAGCTCCAGGAGCCGATCAGTCTGTTCGGCTAATGCCAGTCAGGCCAGGGCGCTTCACCCTTTCACAATGACTATTGTCGCAGAGCAAATGCCGGAAAGAATGCCTTTCACTATTGAAAAATATGATGGATCGAGTGATCCGGAGGAGCATCTGAGGTCGTTTGCGGATGCAATGGCGATATATTCGCCTAATGAGATGGTTTGGTGAAGGTTTTTTTCCCTATCCATCAATGGAGAAGCCTTAGCATGGTTCCATTCCCTTCGTCCCAGAACCATAGACAGTTTTGAGACATTGAGAAACCTGTTTGAACAACAGTTTGCTTCCAATAAGGCGCAAAACCTTACTTATATGGAATTAACTAAAATCAAGCAGAGGAAAGATGAAGACCTGAGGGATTAAAGGATGAATCTTTAACTTCGTGAAGGAAAGTCAAGCAGTAAGAAGTTGCAATGGTGGATTTGGATCCAAGAGCCAACACAGATGACAAAATGGAGCCACTAGGAAACGAAATCGTTCGGCCTCGGGCACAAGGAAGACCAGGTCACTTCAATTGGAAGTGAATTAATGGAGGAACATGCCAAGCTAATCGGCAGAGAACTTAAGGACAATAGTGATCTGTTTTCCTGGGTCGCAACCGACATGCTAGGGATACACCCAAAGGTCATGTCTTATAAATTGGCCTTGTTCAAGGAGGCCTGCCCGGTAGCGCAGAAGAAAAGAAGGCTAAGGGAAGAGAAGAGGTTGGCAATTGATGATGAGGTGAAGAAGCTCTTGGAAGCAAACTTCATTCGTGAAGTCAAGTACACTACTTAGCTGGCGAATGTTGTGATGGTGAAAAAATAGAATTTGTAGTGGAAGATGTGTACAAACTTCACGGATTTGAACAAAGCCTGTCCTAAAGACTCTTACCCTCTTCCGAGCATCGATGCTTTTGTAGATGGGACTTCAGGGTTCCAAGTGCTGAGTTTATTGGATGCCTATTCAGGGTGTTACCAAATCCTCATGTACCCCCTGATAGTGAGAAAACAACCTTTATCACCGAGTGGTCGAATTACTGCTATGAGGTAATGTCGTTCGGCTTGAAGAATGCGGGGGCTACCTATCAGCGTTTGATGGACAAGGATTTTTGTCATCAAATCAGAAGGTGCATGGAGGTATATGTTGATGACATGTTCGTTCGGAGCAAGTCGGTAGAAGATCATGTAAAAGATCTTACTGATGTGTTTGGCCAGGTTCGTAAGTATGGTATGCGGTTGAATCCAGCTAAATGTACCTTCGAGGTACCTGCTGGAAATTTTTTGGGCTTTATATTGATGGCTAGAGGGATAGAGGCAAATCCTGATAAGTGCAAGGTGGTGTTGTCCGAGTTTGGATTGCGGTTTGAATCGCACGGCTCTATGCGGGGGCAACACTTAGATGATTTTGCAGCTGAATTGCCTCAGCAAGGAGATGAACCTTTGCGGCCTTGGAACAAAGTATAATGTTTTGAAATTTTTCTTGTGCAATAAGCAAATATTAGTGCAATGAAACAATAAATGCAAATGTAAGGAGATAAAGGAGAGAAAATCAAACAAAGGTTTTATCCTGGTTCGGCCTCAATGCCTACATCCAATCACCCTTTCAATCAACCACTAATTGAAGGATATTTCACTATAATGATTGGATGATTACACCAAAGGTTTTACTGTGAATACACCCTCATAAAGTAAACACCTTTCCCACTCACACAATCAAATATAGAAACAACAACACCTGCAAACACAACACCCCACGGTCTTGTTGCAGAAAACCCTTTGAGAATTCCCTCTTCAAGTCAAGAGCACACCACTCTTCTTCCTACTGCTCACGTCTAGGGAAACAACAAGTCAAATATTGCAAGTCTTCTCTCTTGATCTATCAAGATGCACCTTTAGTTGTGCTAAGTGATCAATCGTTGCAGTACAGTCAAAATGTCTCTCAAGAATTCCGCAAGATACTTCAAATTCTTCACGTTCTTGACTCTTGGAGATTTTTAGTAATCTGTAAATGCCTCTTAGATAAAATCAATCAGATATGAAAATGTAAGAATGATTAATCAAATCGTTGTTACAAAATTCAAAAAATGCGTCAATATATATTATATCAGTCCCGACACAAAATAATCAATTACTAAACTTATGTAACCGGTTACATAAAACAGATGTAACAGAATTACAACAAACTCAGCTCCTTAATTGAATACACAACTAATGTAATCGATTCTCATTAAATGTTGGTCAAACATATTTAAAAATATGAACGTTATAGCAATTATGACAAGCATGAAATCAATTTTAAAACATAACATACTTAATCAAATACACAGAACATGTAATCGATTTAAGCTTCAACACTTAGAATAATTTTGAAAAATTTTATTTCCAAAAAATCATCACAACACATTTGAAAATGATGTATACAAACACACAAGTTTTAATCAATTCAACAACTAATGTAATCGATTCAAACTAGTTGTTTTGCTATAGTTCAAAACATAAGTTGTCTGATGACCTTAATTGATTACTACAACACTGTAATCGATTATGTCATGCAGATATGCTTTTGTGCTTGTGGTTTTCAAAACACATAAACATACATAATGAATACACAGATATAATCACATCATAAACACAATAGTATGCAGAATCACTAGTATGTTCAACATATGTATTTAACACACATTACATGTATTTGCAAATCCACATATGTAAAAACACAACATACATAAACTCTTTTCTGTTGTGACTTCACAACATTCATGTGTTGTTACTTATCAATGTGTTG